ATAAGTCATGATCCTTCTAGAAACTCCAGCGCGCATGCTCCCAGTGTCGCGTGACTTCCGCTGTCGTAACAATATATATATATAGTTTTGGGAGGGGCGAAATCTGTGTATGGTTGTAAAAAGTGAAAGGTTGGACCAAATTCTTTACTGCCATATAAAACTTAAGTTGTGTTATGAAATGTTGAAAGCGTGCCAAGTCTGTATCAATCTCGTGGTTAGGATACTTGACTCGCAATCTGCGGTCGTGGAATTGAATCCTCGCCACCAAATATGCTCACCCTTTCAGCCATGGGGGCGTGATAATGTAACGGCCAATCTCACTGTTTGTTGCTAAATTAATCGCTCAAGAGTTGGTATTGATTAGCTGCCGTCCCTCTAATCTATCACTGCCTAAATTAAGGACGAGTAACGCAGGTAGCTCTCGAGTATCTTTGTGCGAAATTCCAAACAATTTGATAAAGCAAGTAGAATAGATTTAAAAATTACATAGAATAACAATTTTTACTTATTAAAGAGCCTTCAACCAACTTCAAACAAAATAATACTTCGTAGCAGCTGTAATTTGTGTTTTCAAGATTAATTTCAAGTAGAGAATGGGTTTTTAAACATAATGATTTTATGACTATAAAATTTAGATTTAAGAATATTAAAGATACTAAGTGTCAATAGTTACGTTATTGTCGACTGTGGAAGGTTATGGCCACGTGGATAAGGCGCTCGACTCGCATTCTGAGGGTCGCGGGTTCGAATCCCTGTCCCACCAAACATGCTCGCCCTTTCAGCCGTGGGGTCGTTATAATGTGACGGTCAATCCCACTATTCGTTGGTAAAAGAGTAGCCCAAGAGTTGGCGGTGGGTGGTGATGACTAGCTGCCTTCCCTCTAGTCTTACACTGCTAAGTTAGGGACGGCTAGCGCAGATAGCCCTCGTGTAGTTTTGATCGAAATTTAAAAACAAACAAGTGGAAGGTTAAGTTTAATGTACTATCATTTTTGCTTTTTGTATGGTCAACAAGGGACTTCACAGTCCAGGCAGGGGCAGTGTGGTAGGTTATGAATTTTTGGAAATTTAGAATGGTCTTTCTTTTGCTAGAGATAGTCATCAGGTCACGTGATGAGCTGATGGCTTTTGGAGTTTTCTTGAAAGTTCAAGAAAAAGAAAAGGGAAATATTTGAGGTTAGAGATTGTTGGTTTATGGGTCTGTTACGTTATGGGTCTGATTGTTTCGTTAGCAAGTGATTTTTTTACACTTAGTTAAAAATTTATAGCTTTTTAGTTTGTTTCAAGGAAGAAATAAAGACACAAGAGAAGATAGCAAGAAAGTGAAAGCCTATCAACAGACGTTAGGGAATCTTGTAAAACTCGTACAAATTGTAATATATATGTTCGTTTGTTTGTAATTAAGCACAAAGCTACACAATGGGCTATCTGTGATCTGCCCACCATGGGTATCGAAACCCGGTTTCTAGCGTTGTAAATCCGCAGACATACCGCTGTGCCACTGGGGGGGGTAATATATATAAATTTATATTATCGTTAAGTAAATTTTGCATTATTATTTTTTCAATCGAATAATCCAAAAGAACCCGCCCAACAACAGAAATCGTTACAACAATATATAGTTAGATGCGTATGAAATAGACTAAATACATGAAAAATGAACACCATAATTGACTAAAAAATCTTTTTTTTTTTTTTACTTTCGTTTTTGGGAAGCATTTTATTTACTTGTATATTTTATCTTGTAATTCCGATAATTTCTAGTAATTACTGATCTGGACTTATTTGTGGTGAATTAAGAATAATGAGTGTTTTTCCTA